CCTCCGCAGATGGGTACTGCTCAAGCACGCGGTTAGTCCCCTCTTGCACATGCTCTATCAGAGCTGCACCTGCATCACTGCTGTGGGACCTGTACAGGCACGCGTAGACTCGGGTACAACCCCCGTGATCTACGCGCAGCCACAAGAGGGACAGGTCCCGTTGTTCGAGGCCTCGTAGACGGCGACAACAAACATCAGCCCGGACGAATACACACACCCCGGCTTTACGCAGGAAGTTGTGCTCCAATACGTAGCCGGGGTATTCAAGGTAAGAGGTATCATCCGGAGCAGATATCTGTGTCTCCGTCAGAAACAGTAGGGCAGGCTGCGCCGTCTCAAGGTGGTGGTGTACGGCGTCAAGGTTGCTATGTAGGCCCCTGACATTGCTGAAATCCACATTAAATGTGGAATAGGGGATCGCCGATATAGCCCTTTTTCTTTTTCTTATTTTCATTTTGTTTTTTGGAGAGTGGGATAAGGTGAGGTAGGATGTTCGGAGTGAAAACATGACAACACCTGAATAAAGCGCGGAACATAGTGTGCGGTCGATCACGGGTTCCGTGAGAGTCCGACGCAGGGCATGGAAGGGCCCCCAGTCCACCCTGCGTACGATCGCCGGGATCCACTCCGGTCTCCGACTCCGGCACGACGACCGCACGACAGGATTTTACACCGGTTGGCGGGACAGCTTCCCGGGGCGGAGTTTAGTAGTGACACCCGGGTTCAGGTCCCCTACTGACCGGCGGGCGGCGGCGAACACCGTTTCACTGGGTCTCCCTATACCCCTGTCAAACAATCACGTCCCGCAAGCTCGCGCGCACGTCTGATCCGCATGTTCCAGGTGTCATCAAGATTCACCCCCAACAAGGAAGAGGAAAGGAAAGGAATAAAACTGGCTCTCCAACCCACACACCGGAACACAGCTAGGCTATTTGGCGGCGGACTCAAGTTGGAGGGTGTTCGCCAGCCAGTCGGACTAGTCCTACCACCGATTATGTTTTCGGCTCCCGTTTAGCACCACCCAGGGGTCACTTGTAGGGAATCGCGGGATAAACCTACGGAAGCGGGAAGCAATCGACCCCCAAAATTGGTCATATTTTAACACCTCATCTTGAGATATGATTATGTACTATAAAGCTTTATGAACTTAGGCTCTTTCAACCTAAATAAAACTTCAGCAATGCCAGGGGCAGAGCCAAGCCGCTGCCTACCAAGCCGCTGCCTGCCTACCTATCGTTTCTTCTAACGCCAGTCAGAATTCCGTTGGTGCAGCTTCGAACGGCCGTTTGCCTTATTGAAACTAGTATCTTACAAACGCATTCAAATGAACACATCTCAATATCCAAACCAAATCTACCATCGGCCTCAAGAGGATATTTGAGTTTTTCGGGCACATTGCCAGAAAGAGTGGTGACAAGCTTGAAAAAATGGTTTTCTTTTTTTATTGCGTAGATGCGTGGACGAGCTCACAGATCACCTGGTCTGAAATGGTTACTGGAGCCCATAGACATCTACAACGTAAATGCGCCACCCACCTTGAGATATAAGTTCTAAGGTCTCAGTATAGTTACAACGGCTGCCCTACCCTTCAAACCGAAACGCATTACTGCTTCACGGCAGAAATAGGCAAGGTGGTGGTACCTACCCGCGACAACCCTCAGGTATGAGGAATACGACTCAGGGGGAGGGCCTTACAAATACTCACTAGGATCTTTGACTGCAGTGATGACGAGCTTGAAGCCATTCGCGTCCGTGCCCCAGTTGTCAGTGACGTACTTCAGGGTCACGAAGTTGCTGCGCGTGAACAGGGCTCCGACCTGCTGCTTGGTGTTCCGGCACGATAAGTCAGCCTGCAACAACAATTATGGTTAGGTGATATTGCTTTTTTTTCCTACCTAAGCTGAGAGCCTTGAGAGGCTATATCAGCGTAACCTTAACTAGTCGGTGAGCTCACGGGGCTCAAGCCTGACGACGTTGCTAATACGAACCCTAGCAAGAGCCGTGCTTCGCAGAATCTACCACCGGATCGGAATCGCGACCCACTGAGAAGATCCGGCGAGAAACTCAGTGGGCTGTGTCTGAGGGTTAATTTACTCGTGGAGCCCTTCGTCGCAAGCGACGGGTTTGACGAGAACGATGACCGGTGCTTGAGGTACCTAAAAGCACCGTTAGTGGATCGAGAGGATCCGAAATGACGTGTAAAATATTGCGATATCTAAACAACTCATTGGGTAGTGTGTGATTGAGTTTCCACTTCGGTGCTGTCGATCCTGACGTAACAGTTACACTGAGCCCATGTAACTACGGCCGTAGTGATCTTTCCTAACTCTCATAATTGAGCTAACAAATGTCTAAGATTGTTAATAGCAAAAATTGTCACATAACATAATACCAGAAGTGTGATTAAAAAGATCTGTTGTAAATAAATTGTGAGTAGCTTTATGCGAACAATTAATAAAAAGAGTAAAAAGTGTACATTAAAACAGTGTTTTTGGCGTCCCGGTACCCTTGTGTTAAGTGATTGCCGGAGCCCATGGGCACCACGATTGCCGTTGGAATGTATACCTCACGATCACAACATCATCACGTTCAATTTTGGCTCTGCACCGCCTACCACTACTCTAATGGTGAGGATAATCTATATATTAATACGTGAAGCAAAAACGTTGTATTCCTTTTTGCGAAAATTGGGCAGACAGAGGAGTATGAAATTTTCCACACTTAAAGAGAATATAGAGAACAAGTGCACAATGCTAATTTTTTTTTTTAATAATGCATAAAAAATACATTAAATCAATAAAGAAACATTACACACATTACATACCATGCATTTGACGCACACACGCATGCACACTATTTATTGTCAAACTTTTGTTCTTGACGTCTGTGGTCAAATTGAGAATAGATTAAATATTGTTTGTCTTTATTAATATTTTTTTATAGAGTAGTCTTGACGAAATTTATGATTATAGAAGTAGAAAATACAATCATAATAGTGTACAAACTTACTATTCCAATTAATTATAGTCGAATTTCGACTACTGCGGGACCTCTAGTCTAGTTAAAAACATAAGCGAACAGATTCGGACTCAATAAGTTAAATAACTAATCTAAAAAATTAAGATACCAAACATCAATACTAAGACACAATTTCCGTGACGCTATAATATTTAGAAAAACTGGTAACATACAGTAAAAAGCAGTTGGAATACGAAATAAAAACTTCCAAAACTATCCAAAAAAAAGTGAATACACGACACTTCATAAAGCAGTCCTCACACGTTCATTTAATCGGTCAGGCACCGTCAATATCTCAACCATCGATCCTCGGCTTATAGTCTACGCCCGGACTATATTCTCGTCATATTTTAGCGAGACCGATCGAGAAAACGTGACCAACCTAGCCGGGTGTACATGTCGTGGTCATTTCAGAGACGAATTTAGGAATTTCATAGTGGTCCATAGCTGTCCTAGCCTTAGTAAGGTTATATAAAATATAAATTTTATATTCTATTTATAATTATACAAATTTACAATTTTACAACTTATACACATGACATCTTATTTGCTTTCATGGTTATATAAAATAAAAAATTGATATTCTCTTTATAATTTTACAAATTTACAATTTTACAACTTATACACATGACATCTTATTTGCTTTCATTTACATATAAAGTTATACATTATATTTATATTCTGTTCAACTCAAAACTCAAAACCCCCTTATCATATATTATTTTACTTCTCATCATAATAAGTATATTCAAATATTAAATTTAAATATGCATCTTGTTAATCGATGTAATCAATAGCGTCGTCAAATTTAATAAAAGCATCTATTTGCTTACATTCAAAAACCTTAGTAAGGTTAGTCCATAGCCTGGGTAGTGAAAACTATGAAATAGATTAGCGGGAGTATTTAATACTGATTATATAATCAGCATAAAGGTGTACAAATAAGTTTCTGCCGTTTTGAGAAAGATGGCGTGGCACGAGGCTTACGTTCGAATTCACAGATGATAATCGGCTTGAAAATTAAGTTGATCATTTAAGAACAACTTAAACCTTTCATAATATTAACTCCATATTAGCATCGTATTTTTTTTTATCCAAAAATGTATAATTTGAGCCAAATAAGCGTCATTTGCGGGAACTTTTAATTTACTTTTTTAATTTAAAAAAATCTGCAGCCGAGGCGCATCGATTGCTCGTAAAAGCATATAATGAGGCTGCCTTCAGTGACAGTACATGTCGTGGTTTCAAAAGTTTAAAAACGGTGATTTTGACGTAGAAGACAAAGATCGCTGTGGAAGGCCAAAAATGTATGAGGATGCAGAATTGACGGAATTATTGGAGGAAGATTCAGAAGAAGAAGAGAAGAACAAGAAGAATAAAATAAATCATTTTGTCTAAGCAAAAAAAGAACAAATTTACATAAATAAGCCTATACCGGTGTACTCGTAAGAAACGGTACGATTATGTCGATGCTCTAATCACGCCGGCAAGTACCAAAAAATTCAACGTAAATACGTAACTAGTACGTGCTTACGAGCGATTTCAACCGTGAAGGAATAATGTCGTGTGAGAAAAATCAAGACCTGTAAAATTTATGAAATTGGCAAGACGTACTGTGAGGTGGCACAGATAGGTGAGGCACCACCGTCTTATGCCTATTTATGCCGCGAAACATTTATACGCTCTGGACTGAAGGTTAGGAAGTCTGTTGTTTTTTTTATTTTTTTATTTATTGCTTAGATGGGTGGACGAGCTCACAGCCCACCTGGTGTTAAGTGGTTGCTGGAGCCCATAGACATCTACGACGTAAATGCGCCACCCGCCTTGAGATATAAGCTCTAAGGTCTCAAGTATAGTTACAACGGCTGCCCCACCCTTCAAACCGAAACGCATTACTGCTTCATGACAGAAATAGGTAGGGTGGTGGTACCTACTCGTGCGGACTCACAAGAGGTCCTACCACCAGTAAACATAAGCAATATAATAAATAGAGACATCCACGTCGTATACCTCGTCTTAAATTCATCTTCTAGTCTTAAATCACGCCATACACATTATGTTGTTTATCCGGTAATCGCGACTTTCTGGATGATTTCAAAACACAACACTGAAATCTCATAAGTATGTTCATGAACATGAAGACCAGGAAAAACAAACGTAATAAACAACCTCAATTTAGAAATAGCCCCCTCAGTAATCCGAGTACGTGCCTGGAGTGCCGACCCGGGCAGGGTTGCTTGCGATTCAAAAGCATTAACGCTGGATTTACAGCCCCTATTATTGCATGACGACGATTCTCAAAGTGTGTGTTGGTTATTTTAATTTATACGATGTCAAACTTCATTAACAAGAAGCTTAAAATATTTTTATTTATAATCGACAACAACAAAAATCAGAAAGGATAACAACAAATCATATTTTGTTATAAATGTTCAATATTTTTCTAATTTCACGTGATGCGTGAACGAGCTCACGGTCCATTTGATTACAATTTTTTACCCTAGGGTGTAGCCGTTACAAGGTGAATATTGCGCTACCATCTAGAGACTAAAAGCCACAATTGTAAAGTACAGTACGGCTGGCTTACCGTTCAAAGCGGAATGCATTAATTACTGCTTCTCGACAGAAAGAGGCAGGGTGACAATACCTAACCATGCGGGCACCACATGATGCCTTACGACCTGTGAATACGTACTCTGTAGGTACGTATTCCCTTAGGTGAAGAATACTGTGTTCAAGAGTAGGTGGGCTATTCTTAAAATACAATTAAAACTTCCTTCTTATAACCAATCAACATAAAGAGACCATGAGAAAATCTAGCCAACGTTTATTCAATAGAAAATAAAAAAGTTTGAGAAACACTACACAATGCACACCGGAGAATAAAGACGGTCCCCACGATTGATATTAAAAATTTCTTAGAAGTTAAGCCTACGGATTACTGTGGAACTCGCAAGCTTCCACGGAAACTATGCAGAGCTGATCTCAAAGTTATGAATTTAATTAGTTTTCATAAGCGGAAATTGCCTTGGGGAGGTGGAACTTAGATAGTGAATTTTTGTGTTCAATTATATGAAAAACATTATTGATCAGTGGTAAGTTATCGAATCCCTCGAAAACTGCCTGAATGTTTCGGAGTATTTCGTCGGTAAGTTTATTTTTAATTACAAATTTGGTTGATTCCTAAATCAGTTAATTTCAGAGCTCAATCTGGCGAGAGATGGCAGAAGGTTTTTTTCTGCAACTCTGACTCGATCTAATAATATTATTATCTAAGTGGTGTCTGCGGTCTTTGGTTGTCACTTGCAAACAAAGGAGTTATACGGTCATATACTCAATGTTTATTAGCAATAAAAACTTACGAACGGTCACATTTTCAACTCAAATGTTCACGTTATCAACACTGAAATTCAAATTACAATAGCCAATCTGCGAACAACGAGTCAGCAGTGAGTATTTTATGAAGAATCGACTTATAACGAAACTAACAGCGCTCCAGATGGGGGCTTAAGTGAGTCATTCAAGAGCGAGTTACGGCTTGGATGCTGCACAGGAATATTAAGAAGAAGATCCTTAAATGTATACTTTAAGAATATTTTATGTCATAATATGTTTTGGTTTCAGCTGGAACCGAGTAAAAGCTACGCCTAAGTTATAAACCAAGTTATACAATATTCTGTGAGAGAGTAGCTGACTTTGCCACTTGAATTTTTTTAGCTTATCTGATGTTAAAAGGGTCCACATCATCATAAAATAAATTGCTCCTATACGAAGTCTAAATCTCATCTGTTTTGAATCGGACGCTGTAATTTCAAATTGAAATGAATGACTG